GATGATTTAGTACTCAATTTTTGTGGTTTTAAAAGCTTCCTTCAAAGTTGGTTACGAACAAAATGTAATTTGTTTGGCACACTGCTGTCGAACTAAAATAGTTCCTGTAAGAATATAGATATTGAAATGAGTATTTTCAAAGGAAAGTACCATTGCGGTTGTACACCTGAACATTCACGAGTTTCTGGTACTGTTGAGTGTTACATTGCGAAATTAATGCCTTTAAAGTATAAAGTCTCTTTTCCGGTGTTTTTTTTTTTTATGCTAACAATTCAGCGGTGGATCTCGTCTTTCACTATCATTGTAAGTAGCAGTTGTGAATTTGTAGTAAAACAGAATGTCTGGAATAGTGTATCAGTTTCACTTTTAAGCATTTCATTGAATTTCATTTTGCATGCCATTACTGCAATTCATCATTTCGAGGGTTACACCGGGACTATAGAAGGTCAGTTGAGTGAAAGAATTTAGTAATACAAAGTCGTAAATGGAACAAGATCTTCTTGATGTATATATGAGTTAATAGTTCTAGTGTACGTAACTACTACACTGCGGTTACATAGATGCTTTTGGGCAGATCACAGAATGGATTAGAAATTTGAAAATTTTGAATGGGAGGATCACATGGGAATGAATTTGAACCTCCTAGACTTATAGAATTACGGTTACAAGGTATGGGTGTTACCCGTTATACTGCGCGCCACCGTCAAATTTATTTTATAAGATGCAGTAAGAATTAGAACAGGTTTTATGGCTAAACGTTAGAAGACTAGCAATAAGTGTACAGACAAGTTTAGGGGCTGCTATATATGATAAGCCAAGTGTAGAGAAAAGCATATTTAGAAGTAGGCTTACTTAACAGCAGCAGTTTTCCTTTATTTCCATTCTAGTCGTAATTAGTGAATACAAACCATGGAAATTCATATCTATGTATGTCGCTCTGTGTAGTCCCATCGTCTAAATACTCTAGTAGTAGACAGAGATGTAGGAAATGCAGTGCTTCTTTGAAGTATAATTGCTTTTAAAAAGATGCGGATAACAAAGGAAATAAGTTTTTCATCACAAATATTCCAAATGAGCGTATTTCTGAGCATAGCGTGATGGTTGTCAGGTGTCTTTATTTTGGATTTTTGGAAAAATTGGGCTTGTTTTTTGTTTTCACTATTCTGTTTTATACAGCGATTGATTTACTGCTCTTTCTGGGGGTAGTGTTAGGTTTGTTATGAACGTTTAAATTATCAGATTCTTACCAAATGTGTAACTGAGAAGCAGAACAAATAAAAAATTTTTTTGCCACAAAAACTTAGGAAATCGTAGTTTTGTCATACTTGTCTTTCTACAGTTCAAAATCCAAACTGATGATCAGTTAATAGTTTTGGTATACTGTACACCTCAGCAAAGTCTTATTTCAAAAGCATTTCTTTTTTGAGATTTTGAAGTCCCCATTTTGGACATGACATTTTAAAGTGTTATTGTAGCAGAAATTCTCATGCACACCGTTAATTTGAGGGGCTAAATAGGCAACCGGAAATCAAGGGAATTCACTGTGGACGAACAAAATTACAATCCTTCAAGTAGAATACACCACCTAAACACGGTCTACACTGTTTAAAACGACAAAATGGTTACTCAAAAAATGAAACATATACGTCGCATTTTAGGCCTGAAGTCAGCTGGGTGGTAGAATTTGAAAAAAAATCTGAATGGTCTTCGAGAAAAAATGTGCAGTTATTTGTCAATTCATCAAAATCGATTGTGCTACACTTTTTCAGTCAATGTCACAGTTTTCGTTGGGTTTTTTCCAGTTATTGGAATCTAGTATTGGTTTTAGTAAAATAAGTTTTGTTTGGGGAAGGCGGATTTTGGTGAAATTATGCCTTTTAAAGATTGCAAAATTTTCTTAATTTTAAAATAACCAGACGTATCTCAAGAGCGTAATCTTACTTAAAACTCATTTCGCATGACCGTTTTGCTCTTTTTTCAAACTTCCTGGCATCTAGTTTTAGAGTAATACATGGAAAATGTTTTGCTAAGAAAGTCGAAAATTTAAGAAAGTGTAATGTTGTGAGTGAAGTACGGAATATGCCATTTTTGATGCGAAAAAAAACTTTGCAGAGCTTTTTCTTCAGCGTAGCAATGAATGTGAGATAAGCATACTGGAATAAGTCTTTATAGGAAGAAGGTATACATCAATAACATATACTAGCAAAACAAAAGGAAGCTTCAATTTTAACCTATTATTTAAGATGTGCAAAATTGGGTTTTGAAAATCATCTATGTGCTGTTCTCACCGAAAGCGTAAATTTTTGAGTGCTTTTGCTGTCTTAAAAATTGGTTGTCTTACACGTCGTTGGAACGTTACGGAAACTTTAGAGTGAAGTTAACAAGTAATTGCTGATATTTAACCGTCTGTAGTTGAAGAAGATATTGGGAAGAATAAAGCTGAGGCAAAAAAAATAGTTTTTTTGGGCTGAGATTCTACCCTTCAGGATAACTTGTAGCGTTTTTGTAGGATCTCTTAAAACGGTAAATAATAAAATAGTTGTCGAGTGCAAAAGATTTTTGCTTGTAAAATTAAAGAAAAGACCAAACCGATAAAACTAAGCGAGAAGAGCGCAAGTTCAATGAACTCTTTGTCGGTGACGAATCCTTAGAGTTTTCAAAGAACTTGGTGTACTTTCTACCTGCTTTCACTTCTTGAGCTCGTGTTAAGTGAAGAAATTTATTCTTTGGGCTTCTCGCTCCTAGTACTTGCTTCACTACTTTTAACACTGTTGGTACTGACTGCGCCACCTGATTATGTCGAGTCACGTTTGCCGGTAAAGGGTCTCAAGAGGATAAGACTAAGGGCATTCATACGCACTGCGGACAACAAAGCTAATCGTGCTGGCGTTGTTTTAACTCGGATTGCATTTCGTAGTGCTTTCTTATCATTTACATAATTTTGAAAACACTCAGTTGTCATACGTATCGCGCCGTAGTAGTCGGTCGAACTCAGCTGCGTAGGATTAATTTTCTTGTATCCTTCTACACCTAACACAGCTTTTCTAAGTCCATGAATTTCTTGAGCCTTTGATGCAGTGGTTTTATACCGGACTCAAGCTACGCTGGCATCTAAAAGCGACAGTATAAAACCGTGAAAAAATCCGTCTAGTAAATTTACGTAATAATCAAAATACTGATCAAAAACATTAATGTAAGGCGCGCATCATACAGTACAGGTGACAAGTAACTAAACTTAACCGAAGGGCTCTGTAAAGTGAAATCTGAGTCTTTTGAGCTTTTGAGCTCTTTAAATGTTTTATTGAGAGTTTGGTTTAAACTGTGAGAAGTAAATTTTAAGGATTTCTGTTGACTACAGTGCTTTTCAAACGAATGTCAGGGATACCACATTTGAGCGCGACTTGTGGCCATCGGAGAGTGTCGACTGCGTGCGTTTCACTTATCAGACTTTATTGTGGACGGAGATCAGGTGCAGGCGAAAAATCCGAACGGGTCCTTACATTCTGGTTCACTGGGTTTGAATCTGATGTTTTTCTTATCAACGGGGAAAACTCCATCATTTCGATTTGTTCTCCGCTAAGAAAATATTTCACCTATGCAAAGTTATGCCAGTAGAGAAATATATATCTGTTCTTAGAAGACAATTTTTGTAAGTGAAAGCCGCTTCATTAGGTTGAGAGCATTACCTTCCCACTTGCTAGATTTGCCTGAATGATAAATATTTCGCGCTGTCCTTACCTGTTTAGAGCGTCGATTCCAGCCGTACACGTAACGAATCATAGAACGTGAGTAAAACGAAAAAAAAAAAAGAATGCTAGGACCTACAATGAAAATAGGGGTTTTCCGAATGTTTACGTTACACTTTCGCTTTAAATTTTTTCATTTTTTGATTTTAAATTCATTTTTGTAGTACGTCTAGTAACATCTGAATTTGTATAAATTGTTTTTCTTGGATACAGCGCAACCACTCTTCTGGAATGAGGTTTGGTTTTTGATCTCTCTATCTTTTCAGTTTGCAAGAGCTACATTTTTTTATGTTTTATAAGGCCTGCAACTCAATTCCGCTGATTATGTGTTATGATTGGTCTGGAAATTGCGAAGAGTTAAGAGTTTTTTCTGTCAACCTAAGAGAAAAGGGGGCTTTGCGTTCTAAAACTGAATTTTGTTTAAAGATCAAATATCCAGCAAGTTATAAAACCCCATTAAAATTCTAAGAATATGAGCCTCCTCTGCGAATCGGGTATACCTGGAAACAATCGGCAGCTGAAAAATTTGAAAATTAAAAGACTTCTGGAAATTGAAATATTTCGGAAACATCTACAAATGAATAAAAGATTCTCTTCCAGTGCAAAAGTTATGTAAATGAGAGATTTTTCTGCAAAGTGCTTTGCATACCATCAGTATCTGCTTTTGTTTTTAACCAGATTCCGCTACAGTAAAGATATTTTTCTGTCTCAACTAATTGAATTTTTAGATATGCAAACGGTCACATCCAGTGTGACGGTAAATGTTATGAAAATATCGGGTTAATAAAAACACAGAAGCATGCTTTATTTGGCTGGTTGTAAAGCTTCTAGAAAAGATCAGTCAGAATATTGTTTCCCTAACATGGCGGAGTTTCTTGGTTGAGAAGAGTTTTTTACATATCCCAGGCTAGTTCAACAGACTGGAAGCTAACTTTGAGCACATACTGTATCAACAATAAACTTTAATCCTTCTAAGTTTCTCGAAGATTAACCGCCTGAAATTTTCCAGAAACAGAAAAACTGAATTGCATTGTATGTTGTGAAAAGAAGAATAAGATTACAACTATGACGAGAGATGGCAGAAGTTTTTGTGCAAAGATTAAAGTTGTTATTTGTTATAGTTTAAGTTTTGATTACAGTTACAAATAAGATGCAAATGTGAAGACAGTTTTGACCTAAATGCTGTTGGCTTTTTGGTATTACTGCCGTTGTGACGTATTTTGATCAAGCAGTAATTTTTTGTTTAGGAGTTCAATGATTTTTCTGCCACTCTTCATATTTTGCTCCGATGCTATCGGAGTCTTCGCCTGGTCGAATGAAGAATTTGCATTGTACGATTTAGTGGAAGAGGTAGAAGATGATTTCTATACTCTTTTTGCTGTTAGCAAGGTAGGCGTCTAAACAGTTCTTTTGTATCTTTTACTTCAGGTCTTCTGTTTTTAATTCATAGGCGCATTAAATCGTCGAAGAATGGGTTTCATAAAGTCCGTCTCCGTTTTTGTCGTTTTGGTCGGCTTACAGTTGCTGTTGAGAAGGCAGAATTCACAAGTCTCTAATGGGAAAATTTAGAAAACGGTAGGTCAAAAATATCACTGTTCTCCCTTGATCGGAACCTTTGGAGGGGAATACGGGTCTTAAGGAATAAAAGAAGAGTATGAAATAGATAATATTTTATTCTTTACTTCCATTCATTCTTTTTTTGGAACAAAAGTTTGAGTTTGAGCTTTGTTAGTATGAGGAAGGAAACATGGCCATTCTATAAAGAATGAGGGCAAAGAGGTACCTTTTATCTTTTGTTTAGTTTTCCTTGGAGAAGAAAGTAGTTGCTTTCTTCTATTTGGTGAAGAAACAAGAGATTTTCAGGTTTTCTGTTGTCAGCCAGGAGCAAAATATGCGTTCTCTTAAACTTTCACATCTGTGTTTTTTTTTTTTGTATAACACCAAGTTTTCATG